TAACCGGCTCATGAAACTATCAAGTTGTATCATATGGCGGCTACCTTTGCGTGAACTTTAATCCAAGTTATCACTGTAACCCTAAGTTACCATAAAAGAAAAAAAAAACAGTACATTAACTAAATAAAACAATTAAATCAGTTTAATAATTAAACAGGTAATTACTCCCCATTACATAAATTCAGCACTTAATTTAATTTAAATAATTAACTAAAACCAATTAAACAAATAATATTTAATCAACACAATAAAATAATTAAACAAGTAATCAAATAAGAAAAAACAATTAAATCAAAAATTAAATACTAGAAATATCCTTTTAAAATTAGGGGTATTACAGGTAGCCTGTCAGTGCCTCTTGCACCCGCCAACAGCTGAGACATTTTTCTAAACGCATCGCTCTTCCTCATCAATGGAGGCCACTTCAGGATCTGAATATGGAAATACGGATCCTCCGTTTGTTGAGCAACAGGGGTGAAGAGGGAGCTCCAACCGACACACCCACGCACAAAGTCGCCACAATCACCCCCCTTTGGGCCCAATGCCTCCGTTGGCTACACTTCCGGGTGGGTTAGGCTCTGATACGATTTGTAACGACCCACTTCACTACATGGTTTGATATTATCCGCTTTGAGTCCGAGCCCGCACGGTTTTGCTATTGGATTTTATTCCAAAAAGCTTCGTACCAATTGGAGCGACACACTTACGTATATAACACTTCCCCTTTCCAGACCCAGGCGATATAGGATTCTACACCTGTGGCTCGCCTAGTGTAGTAGCCTGCCAGTGCCTCTTACACCCACTTACGGCACACCGGCCCATAAGGTCGCCATATTTACCTTCTTTTCCTCTTCAATCCCCGTGTAATCAACGAACCTCTCAACATCTTCCAATAAGAAATCTTTAATACAAAGGAAACTAGTAAAAGTGGGAAGGTCAATCTTCATATATAAGAAAAATTTTAGAATCATAATCCATATGATCATGATGACTTCCTACGCCTCTATGCCCCCAAACACCTTTTCCTCACAGGCTGATTGACTATTAGAAGGGAAGGGGTTACGATTATGAACAAAGTGAGTGTCATCTTCGTCAGTGTTACGTAACCTGTTGTTATCGCGATTTTGCTCTAGACCTAACACGAGCCTAACTAGCAAGGGTTGCTTGCATATCTTGCAGCACTACTAGTTTTTCACGTTGAAAGTCCTGAAATTCAGCCCCTTAGAAATATCGCTTCCTATCAATCTTCATCGCCAGCGAGGTAGCCACCACCATGATTCTCAACCATCAGTTCAGGATAGGGGTAGCAATTTACGACACGATACGCTAATACGACTCGAATATGACACGAAATAAGTGGGCTTGGGTTTGGCTTAATCGTGTTCGTGTCATAATCATGTTGACCCGAATTGACATGGTAATTAAACGTGTCGTATTCCTGTTTGACACACTAACACGTTTATAACCCGACTAACCTGTTTAACTAAACGTGTTGTGTTCGTGTTAAAAATGACCCATTTAGCTAAACGTGTCGAATAAATGTGTCGTATACGTGTAAAAAATGACTTAAATGTGTTTTGTCGTATCATTTCGTGTCGTATATAGTCTTAACCTATTTATTAAACGAGTTACGCGTGTCATGTTACTCATTTAATAATTATGTTGTGTTCAAGTCAATGTTTATTGACACGATAGTAATCATGTCGTGTTCGTGTCGACCCATTTAACAAGACACATATGTCTTGACAAGACATGAACATGACCCACCAACACGAATTGCCACCTAGTTCTGGAGAAGACAAGTCTCTCATACCAACTCACCGAGTGGATGTTAGTTCACGAAGAACAAACAACTTTGAATCTACAAAGTTAAGTAAAAATTGCAGAGTAATGTGATATATAATTAATAAATGAATTGAATTCTTAATTTACTCTTACAATACATGCATATTTATAATAGAGAACATAATACCATAAGGAAAATAGTATGAGAAAATCTATCAGCATAACGAAATTAAAAATATAAGGAAAGCTTAAAAATAAGCCCCGAAATACATTCTCTCTAAAAATTGTGAAAAAAATAAAATAAGAAACCTAATCAGTAAATATTACTAAGTACCAAAATTCAGAATAATTCGACTTCATTTAGGTCATGAACAAATATTTTTGAAATATTTCAGTCTTTTTATAGGAGTGAAAAACACGATTTGGGGACCCTAAACTATTGAATTTGGCCTAAAACTAGCATGAGCCACTAGCTAAAGCTTGTTGGTTTTCTTTATTGGGTTATTTCCAATAAAAAAAAATGAGTCTGCTTTAGTAAAATCAGATTCGTCGAAAATTATGTCATACATCACATTACAAAGCTTGCGTTTATGAATCCAAGCATATCTTGTGATTCAATAAGTCCCATTATTTAGGTCTTCTACAACAGAAAATTTGATTGTGTCAGCTTGATGAACATAAAATTTCCAACATTAAGAGATGTCGGGTATTGGTATCTTGAAATTGTGTTGGTTCTAACTTCTAACTCATCTTGCCATTACAATTTGAAAGCGACAGAGAATCTTATGAAAAAAGGGAACAAAGAATAATGAAGGAAACAAATATTAACAGGCCTTGATCGTTTGCTCAAAATACCCCAAGGAAATCTATTTTAACACAAGAAATCAACGAGTGTAATGAAAGACTAGACTTTAGCTTAGTTTGGTTAGACATAAATAGCAAGGAAAAGAAGTGTCCTTTTTTTTTTTTTTTTTTTTTTTTTTTTTTTTTTTTTTTTTTTTAAGAGTTCAAATAGTAGGAGAAGAAAATTTTTGTAGGAAAGTAACTTTTGATCACCTAATTTTTCTTACTAAAAACACAAGAAAATTTTGTTTTCGAGAGAAAGTTATGTGAACTTATAATTATGCCCCCTTTTAGATATCTCTAAAGTAAAATGTGTTGCAGAGTTTTTTTTTTATGAATTGTTTATGGATAATTTTTTTTTTATATTAGTAGTATAATAATCTATATATCTCTTAATGTCCTACAATTTTATTTATTTACGTTCTTATATATATATATATATATATATATATATATATATTAAAATACAAAATATTTATTCAATACTAATTTATTTAGACTTTTTATCGTATTCAATGAAAGTAAGGACAATTTTGGTAAATCATTACATTTTATTGTAATCATATTATCCAAAGTATTTTTTCACAACTTTCTTGAAGAAAATTCATTATAACCAAATGCATGCTAAAAAAATAAAAAATTATGATGAGAAGTGAAAGTGAAAGCAAGTGAAGTAAAAGAAAGGAAAATTAAGTTTTCATCATATATTTGGTTAGCAAGAAATTTTTTGAAGAAAATTATTAGAAAATATTATTTTGTTAGTTTGGATAGTATGAAAAGAAAAAAGAAAAAAATGATTCTACTTATCAAAATATCCTTCTAATTTCAAATACTTTTAAAAAAACTAAATTTATGTTATATAAATACCCTTTATATTTAATGGTTTATTTTAGTAAATAAATAGTACAATATGGATTATTAATTATTTAATTAATTATTTTTAATAATTTTTATTTGTTCGTCCCGTGGTTTCAAGTTCAATGACACGAGGATTGTCGTATGTAGGTTATTGTCGTTGATCAATATTAATTTATAAATCGAGAAATAGTTAAGTGTTTGATTTTCAGTGGATGTCATTCATTGAAAATATAGTTTTGATCCGATAACAAAAATTTTACACATAAACAACAACGTACTCTAACAAAAACAGTTTTCGCGAGAAAGTAAAACTTTTCCAGTGTTTTATACACGAAACGTTTTGAGAAAAATTCATGAGATGCAGGAATTCTATTTTCTTCAAAATTTTCACTTTCTGTCTAACCAAACTTTCAAAAGAATTTAAAAATTTTCTTTTTCCTTTCCTTTCCTTTTCTTTCCTTTCTCGTTATTTCACGCTAATTCCAAGTTAAATTTTATTTTAGTCTTTCTCATCCTTTATGCATAATTCCATTCGGATACAATCTCTTCGATAATCAAGGATAAGCTCCTACACTGAAAGGAGCTTGAATCTAATAAAACACACCTTCATGAAATTGATTTTACAACAAATATTCAAAACTTCAAAACTAATTCACATTTAATTATCTCTTTCTGATAAGGTATGAGAATCATTCAAATTCAAATTCAAAATTCAAAATTCAAAATTCAAAATCTCTTACAAGCTGGTATATAGTACTAGCAGGATCCACACTTTTTATCAGTGATTAAAAATAAACACACACACACACATAATAGTTTTTGTATGTGTGCCCGACTTAGTTATATGAATGTATATATATATATAGACACAAACACACATAATAGTTTTTGTATGTGTGCCCGACTTAGTTATATGAATGCATGACATTGTTTATCATTGCTTCACTCTCTTTGGTTAGAGTGGCCCAGGCATTTTTGAAGCTTCTGCTTTTCTAGGAGCAACAAACGTGTTCCAAGTTCCTCATAATAATGTATAATGGAATTCAGAAATTTCAATGATGTATATATATGTTCTGATAGAAGCTCTCTCACTTTCAACTTTATGTAAACACTGCTAAACCATAGTAACAGAAGCTTTCGGGATTCAAAATAGGATTAAAGAGCCTCTGAAATTAAAAAGTCTATTAAGCAATAGGAGTCAAAGACATCTGTGACAAATTCTAAAGTACAAGGGTTTATTTGATTGTGGAACCTAAAATTAGTTTCCTCAAAGCATATATATGATTGGTCTCGCTCAAATTCACTTGAAAGCTTTTGAAGGCATTTGTCTAATATTGTCATTAGAATGAGTTCCTAAGGCCACATTATATATTAAATGATGGAGAAAGATAAATTCTCTCTCATTTATTGATGTAAAGGATGGTATGTTTCACAAGAAGTACTCTTTCTTCCAATTAGAATAATACGTGTATGTATATATTTATATATGACATCTTCTTCCTTGAATGCTTCAGCATGCAAAATTTGGTAGAGCGATTCCGTGAATATGCGAAAAAGGAGCAAATCATCAGTGCCGAAATTCAACAATACATGCAGGTAGATGATAAGTTGAGTCTTTACTTGATACAATGTTTCCTCCATTTAAATTTGCTCAAAAAGTAAACAATGTGATAGATAGGCATGTAACATAACTTATATTGGATGAAAAATGTTCTACTAATCTGTTTTCTGAAGACATGGAAGGTGTAGCTGTTTTTAGGGTTGGTTCTTTGTAGGATCAGGATCAGGATCATACATACCACATTCCATATCAGTATTTGAGTGATGGGCACCAGAGGCCTATTTTTATTTCCTACTACAGTATTTGCTGGAAATTCAACATGATTTTTGGAAATTAGTTCCTGAGTATCCAGAATCTGTGCCATTGGATAATTTAAAAGACATATTATTTTGGCATGTATGGAGGTGCAGAGTTGCTATAGAGTAGAGGAAAGTAGTAGATTAGGTGTCTTGAAGGAGTAGTTATATTAAATGTACTAGATAACTAGTGTCTATAGAAGTTCATAAGTGCCCCCATGAATTATAGTTAGCTGAAGTTTAACTGGAGTATTTACTCCACTCTTCGAGGTGTAAACTTCTTGCTCACAGAATTAAAGACTCTCCTCTTTCTAGGAGTATAGTTGTTGCATGGACACTTCCCAGCAGCTGTTTCATTCTCTATTCCAGGTGAAGGCTAATCATTTTGGGCAGAGGACTCTTTATCAGTTCTTTTAAAGCTTTATATATATAGTGTTGTTGGGGAACTTGTATATAAATTATAACACACAAAAAAAAAACATATCAGTTTTATTGGAATAAGAATTCATTCAATGAGACAAATATAAATAAAATATTTAGAATATAACACAATTACAACAAATTTAAATTTATAATGGAATAGAATACAAGAATGACCTTCTCAACATTTATAATTTAAACAACATAAATTTTGTGGAAGAGAACAAGACATGATACAACAAAGAGTCATAGAAATTGAACAATACAAATTAACTCAATAATAGAAACAATGAAAAAAAATAATAATAAACTAAAAGGAAACAATTGGCCTAAATAATGAAGCAGACTCTGGGTGTTGCTTATGGCTGGTTGAAGGTGTGTATTGGCCGTTCATAGAAGTACCTGGTAGTTTGTTGTATTGGTGTGGCTTAAATGGTGTCTAGTACTGTGTTTGTATTGGCTGTGGTTGTTTTTTTTTCTGTTGATCACTTAGGTGATCTCGTGACAACTCTTGTTGTCTTTGGCCTGGACTTGTACTGTCCTTATTTGGACCTCTTTTACATTCTTCTTCTTTATATTTCAAAGTTTACCCATTTACCTAAAAAAAAAAATGAAGAGTCATGCAAGCATTGTCCTAAAGTCATATGCTCTCTCTACGGGCAAGTGCTAGCTGACCATCATGACTCCAAGATACAACCCCTATCTAGTGATCTCCTCTGAACACGTCCAAAAAAATACAAAGTTGTACCAATATAGTGTCAAAGTTGCCCCAAACTCAAACATAAAATAGTATGTAATAATATTTCATAGAAGAAAAGATATTCTTCCAAGTATAGGTTCTCAGCCTCACACCCATCTATATACTCAAGAATATCCCCAAAGTGTGGGAGATAGTCTTTATTTATAAGAATTAAATGTTTGCAACTGTTTTCATATATAAATATAGAATTAAAATAAAATAAAATAATGATGGTAATTAATAATAGTATTTATTCATATTTATTAATTTTTATTAAATATTCCCAACAATTGTTGTAGCAGGTGTTCTCTTGTGGCTACTTGCCTTCTCTCAATTCTGGTTTATTTTTCTTGGGTAGTCTTGAGGCAGTTTAGCTCTCTTTTTTGTCGTTGAGGTCTTTGGGTTTGTCCCTCTTGTACATTCTATTTGATTTACTCAGAAAGAATTGTGTAATAAGAACAACCTAACAAAGTCTTATCAAAGCCATGATGATTCTGAAAGATTTGACATATAATAACCATATTTAACTTGAAATCTTAATAAATCAAAGCTATGATCCGAGATGATCATGTGTCATAGGTGAGGAATACTTTTTTCTTTTTAGATTAAATTGTATAGTGGGAGGATAAATCAAGCCTACAAAAGACAGCAAGCCACATGCAACAATCTCAAAGGCCCGAAAGAAAGAGAGGACTCTGGAGTCTGGAGCCAACAGAGTGTTCAAGAAGCCTATAAGGTAGCCAACATTTAACCCTCTGGCGGTCTGTCTGAAGAATTATGGAATACTCTATTGTTTCTCTCTCCAATGGAAATATTACACACATGCAGCTTGCAAAAGCTAGCTTGTGACAAGGAGGAAACCTCTTCAGAGATTGCCAATAAGCCACAGACCAGCCACAGAATCTTGCCAATCTGTTGGCCTGATGTGAAAACCCACATAATTCTTGAAAGAACTCCCCTATCACTGATGAGTAAGGACAGGTGAAGAAGAGGTGAGAATGGATTTTCGCAGCACCCATACACAAAAACATAAACATTTGGAATGTTGAGATAGGCCATGAAAGCTTTGTCCTTCACTGGGAGTCTACTGTGAATGTCAAACCAAAGCATGAGGTTATGTATAGCAATGTCTCGACCACACCAAATGATGCCAAGGAACCTGAGGAGCTGGTTATGCCAAAAATATAAGGGTATGTGGGATGGAGAATTTGTGGCTAGATTAAGGAGTCCATATAATGTTGTCCTCAATATCAATAGATGGGAGTGGAAGATTGAGTGGGTTCAAATATGAGGATTGAGTAACTATTGCAAGTTTACTTTACCCAAAAGAAAACAAATAATAATAAAAAAAAAAAAATAAAAAAAAAAAGAGAAAAGAAAAAACAAAACTGTTGCACGTTTAAAGTTACAACTGCTAAGAAGTATGGATACAGTCATGGAATGTGGACACGATACGAGTATGTTCGTCAAATTCTAAAAAAATAGGACACCGACACAACTATTATAAATATAAAATTTCATTTATATACCTATTGAATGAGACAATTATAAAATTTTAATTAATCTATAAATTATATACTAAAGTTAGATAAGTTAGAAGATGATTTTATTTGAATATAAAAAATGAAAATGTTATATTATATATGATATTACTATCATATCTTGCTATTGTAGCTATGTTTTTATTCCTTAGAGGTTGAATACTTTGATGCATGTTCATAATATTGTTTTGTATTTCTTTTATATAAGACGAAGAGTGTAGGATGTGTTGACCAAGTGTGTGAGACATGTTGGCCAAGTATCTAAAATAATAAAATTTATTTTTAAATAATGAAAACGGTCATGAAGCGTCGGACATGTTTAGGGCTGTCAGTGTCGGACACGACACCTCAAGAAAGTGTTTGTGCTTCTTAGGTTAGGAAGGCTTGACCTATAAGAATGAACTTATTCGGCTGCTGCACAGTGGACCTAATGAGATCCAATTGTATAACCACAACATGGTGTTCCTTCCATTACCAACCCTATGCTTCAATGGAGGCCTTACCATGACTCTAATGCTCCGTTCGTTAGGAAGGAAGTAAATTGACGGAAGGGAGAGAAGAAGGGAAGGATGAGACATCCCTAGGGAAGAGATTATGGATTTCCCTCATTTTATTCGGTTGGATGGAAGAGAAGAGAAGAACATACCAAATTCCTTTATTCGTTGCGAGAGAAGGAAGGGAGAATTTAAAATTATTTTTATCATTATACCTTCATTATTATTTTTTTTTTCCTGGTAAATAGCCATTATCTTTACTACTTATTTAAACAGTACCATTAATTTCACTCTAATTTATTGTTTGTTTTAATTATATATATATATATGTAGGCTGTGTATTTTTTCTTTATGTAGACTGTGTATTTTTTCTTCTGAATCCTCTTTTTTACTAATAAGGAAATTATATAACAAACAATCCATATATATATATAACACATGAATCATATCTTGATAGTTTTTTTTTTTTTTTTTTTTTTTTTTTTTTTTCTTTTCTGCTTGAGATGAGATGTGTAGGGTTTAATTTTTAATATTTGGAAAGGATAATATTGTAATAGCTCCACTTGTTTTTTCTCCCGTCTTCCGCCCAAATTTGGGCAAATGAAAATTTGTTAAGAGGGAGGGATAAGACATCCCTCCTATTATCCTTTCCCTCCATGTCTCCTTCCTACCGAACGAAGGAATTTTGTTCCTTCCCTCCTATTTTCTTTCCACCTCTCTTTCTTCCTTCCTACCGAATAGAGCATAAGGCTTAATAACTTCCTCTAGCTCCAAGAAACATTTTGAGGGATGTGTTGAAAACTAAACTTGATTTTAGTATTTAATTAATCATTTTAAGTATTTGTCTTACATAGTGTATGTGGGCATTTAGCATGTTAGTGGGTAGTAAATTATCTTAATAAGAATTAGTATATATATGAGAGTTAGTGTGATGATGAAAGTTATGTAAAACCAAGGGTCATGGGAGTTAAGTCTAAATGGTTATGTTAGTGGGAATTAAACCTCCTAAATACCATATTAGTGGGAGTAGTGGGAGTTAAGCCTAAAAGTTATGTTAGTGTGAGTAATTGGGCACTTAAATGTAGTTTTTTTTTTTTTTTTTTGAAAAATACTTAAATGTAGTTGTTACACCTATGTTCATGTGGCCTATATATTCATGTACTCTAGTCAAATAATAGTATAAGTGGAATAAAATAATTATTCAAGTATTCCTTCATATCATTCTTTTCCAAAATATTATTGAGTATTGTGTGTATCTAGGCCACTATTTCCAACAAAGTGGTATCAGAGCAAAGTTAGAAAGTGGTATAAGAGAAAAAGTCAACATGATGCTGAGTCCAAAAACTCCTTTGAGTGGGTAGGTCTTCAACCAAACAGGCCACAGGTTGTGATGAGATGGACATAGTAAGGATCAGATAAGGCTCAAGAAAGCAACTTAACTTTCAGTTTTGGAAGCCCTAAACCCTACTGCTCTTTGGGGAACAGATGACAAACCAAGGAATTGTAGCTCCTGACTTCCTGAGATCAGCTTCAGTCCAAAAGAATGACCTGAGTACCTGATTAACTTGCTGTAATGTCTTTTTTCAATAGTAATTAGCACTGATTTGAACAGTTGCAGCCTACTGGGACAGGAGAGATGCTTAAATGTCTAACTCTCGACTCTATTAACTATCTTCCCTAATCCCTGTTATGGATTCACACTCTTCAAACTTGAGCTTATTTGAAAGTGACTGTATCCATACTGGAATTCACACTATTCAAACTTGATTGGTAATTTCAAAGAAAAATACAACACTGTTAGCTAGATTAGGATTCAGCCCAAAAATTGTACAAAACATGTCAACAGCCTCTCCTTAAGATTTTTGACATAATTTACATCTCCATGCGAGAAAAAAGCAGTAAATCATCAGCAAAAATCAAGTGAGGGGGATATTAAGAGGTGAAAATGTATCCAGTTTGTGAAAAATTGATATATTCTAATTTAAGATATTAAGAGTTTTCACCAATTTCACCTTGAAGCATGATCTAAATGAAGTGCACGGATAGATTATCAAGATCCAAGCAGTGGTATGGTTAAAAGAGCCCAAGAAATAAAGTAGAAAAATGAAATTTTATAGAAAACAACAGATCCATTGATTCGGAAGCATATTGGAGGTTGAATCCAAGTCATGTTATGAAGGTGCTTGAGATTAATTGTTACCCTAATGGCGGAATGGAGTTCTTACTCACCTAGCTAGTACTAGGACAAAGCTCTTAGGGTGATTAATTTCAAACGAATAGTATTATGAAATGAAGCTATAAAGTTGAAGCAAAAACAGTAAAAAGATAAAGGAAAAAGAAATGGAGAAAGGAGTTGGATTTTTTTTTCTTTCTAAAATGGAGTAGGTAGAAGAAGAAAGTGTTGAAGCTGAGTCAAAAATCAACCTAAGTGAATACTTTAAATTTAAAGGCAATACTTTATAATCTCCCAATCTTTATATTACCATCCATCTCACCAACCACACGACATTTTTCTGCAGCAATGTTTTGCATTGGTTCTTTTCTAAATTTCTATCCATATATAATTGAATAATTGAATTCCATATGCAGCAATTGAAGGATGAAAGAACAAGCATGGAAAAGACGATAGAGCAACTTGAAGTTTCTCAATGGTTCATTCTTTTTTCCTTTTACTTGTCCAGTGTTTGTAGCAAACCAGTCTGATTGCACATGCAGTGTTCTTCCTATGTTTTGCTGAACTTCTGATTTTGGTATGTTCACAGGAGACTTTTGGGGCGAGGTTTGGATTCCTGTTCAGTTGAGGAGCTCCACGAAATCGAAAGCCATTTGCAACAAAGCTTAAGAAAGATCAGAGCAAGAAAGGTACATTGTTACAGAAAATGGAATTCATTCTAGCTGGCATGGAATAAAGAAAGTAAGACTAAAAATTGGTAGCTTATGAATATATATATTACAGATGGAAAGATAAAAGAAGGGGGAAAAATAACCTATGCTTTCTTTTTTCTTCTTGGTTTTTCCCATCTCTTCTCAGCAACACATGATCAAGACTGCATCTTTTTTCTTTAATAAGTTTTCAATTAATTATATTACAGGCTCAAGTTTTCAATGAGGAAATTGAACAACTAAAAGTGAAGGTATGCATTGTTGTTTAATTATGGAACTTTGATTCTATGCCCTTACCCAAAAAAAAAAAAAACTTCGATGATACCCACTAGTTTACTTTTGTAGTTCACTAATATGTAGCATATTGTTTTCTCATCTTTAGGAGAAATTCTTGTTGGAAGAAAATTCCAAGTTACGGGAAAAGGTGAAGTTTTTGATTGTTTATTTATTATTTATTTATTTTTCTGTATTTCCTTGCACACGGTTATAGTTATGAACTCGCAGTTCATTAAGAGGTTTTTTTCCCAGTAAAATAGTTCATTAAGTTACTAGGGCTAATTTACAAAAGAGTGATTGATTTACTTTTCAAATCCTAATCTTGTTCAGTTGTTCAAGTTAATTGCTGGGGAATTATAAATCTTGAGTCATCACAGAATGATCATTCTCTACCGTGAGGTCCATGAGTCCGCAGATAACCGGCTGACAAGTGGCAACTATAAAATAAATATATATAATGAATATGTGATATTTGATTTATGTGATGATCGATTTGGTGAGAAAGATTGCATTAATGTTCTCTCGATTTCTGCAATCTTACTTTATAAATAAGGATATGCCAATTTGAGCTCTTTATCAGTTCCATGTTGTGCATTTTAGTTTAGATACAATATGAATATTGCAACCGTAAGTTGCTACCAAGTTTAAATATTTACTATTCTATTGTCACGGGTTTAGAGTTTTCATTGATCAAGTCACACGTCACACCTATATATTGTAACACCAGTGACTCTATCTTTGACACCACACTCATAATGGATTGTAGAAACCCGAGTCTTGTTAGGTATTCATGAAATAAACCAATGCTGTTAAGAGTTACCTATGAAAATGACTTTAGTGCTTCTGAAAAATTATTGGTATCACTGAAATAAATGCATTTTTATTTATGTGACAAATTTTTTTTTTGATTACAACTATAGTCTTTCTCGTTACATATAAATATTCTCTCACCGGAAGCTTATTGAACAATGAGCGTTGATACAACTGTTCTTCCTCTGATGTTAGTGTGCATCGAAGCCACCAGCAAGACCGAAGGAAATGATGACAACACACAACCAGTGTAGTCAACGCGAGGTGGAGACAGGTTTATTCATTGGCCTACCTGAAATGCATTGTCCCTAGAAGATTGAGTTGTGAATGAGTTGGCATGAGCTGCATATTTCTCTCATCTGTAAGTCTTCTAATTTTCCACATGAAATAATGGCAGTTGTCAATTGTTTCATATATATGTTCATGTAATAAACCAATGCAACAATAAAAATCTAGAATGGACTTTGTGTTATTTCCATATGTGGTGGTATTTTTAAATTGTGTCCATCGGTTATAACTGTACATAAAGCGTATTGGAAATGTCATATTGTAGTAAGGAATTGTAATGTATGATTTCCTGTTTATGAAAATGTTTTGATCATTTTTTTTTTTTTTTTTCTTTATAAACAAATTATATGTTTTTTCCGAAAATTCAAACACAAGTAATATACAAGTGTCAGCGTACAGTGATGGGCCTGAGTGCTAGGTACTACAGGCCCATGTTTTACAACAGAACCATAAAAAATATGACTAGGCAAGGCCCAGCCCAATAACAGCAGCCCAATGTGCCATGTTCGAAAGGGAAATAACCGTTGCAACAGCTACCCTGTGATCAATTCCGGTAGACTCTGATAAACTCCGGTAGAGTTGAGCATAACAGCAGTCGTAAGTGATATAATCTCAGACAGATGAGCAATGAATTTTGAATTTGAAAGATTCTCATACAGAGATAATCTGATAGGTAATTCAAGTTTCAATGCCTTCTCTCTCCCATAACAAGAGGATTAAATTGGTAGACATCAGCAACGGTCACAGACGCATTATTATTATTATTATTAAGGTGAATTATATTAAGCCTTCTTTTTCTATCTGTGTTTTTCACTAACTCCCTTTTCTATTTTTTTGTCAAAAAATCCCCCTCAACTATTAGAGGGGGGTGATTTAACTAACTTCCGATAACTAACTATTAGAGGGGAGTGATTTAATTCTCAAATATATATATATATATATAGCAAATAAATTTCAAAAAAAAAAACCTAGATTTATATTGGAAAAAAAACCATTGCAACAACATATACTCTTCTTCTTGTTCAACATTTTTTATTTACCCATCATTATAATATTATATATAATTTGTATCATAATATAATGGTATATATAATATGTATCATTAAATATTATTTAAATATATTTTCATTTCCATCTAGCCTTCAGACCAATATAAATTTAGTTTTTTTTTTTTTTTTTTATTTCTTGAAATTTATTTGCTATATATATATATTTGAGAATTATATTGTGCATTCATTTATTTGGTTTTTATTGATTTTTATTTTATATAGATTTATTAAAGGGACACTACCAGAAATAGTACCTATTTTTTTTTTTTTTTTTTTTTCAATATAAATCTAGGTTTTTTTTCTTGAAATTTATTTGCTATATATATATATATTTGAGAATTAAATCACCCCCCTTCTAATAGTTAGTTAATGGAAGTTAGTTAAATCACCTCCCCCTAATAGTTAAAAAGGGATTTTTGACAAAAAAAAAATAGAAAAAGGGAGTTTAGTAAAAAACACAAATAAAAAATGGGAGTTTAATATAGTTCACCTTTATTATTATTATTTGACTCTCACGGTACTCTTAAAAAGACTTGAACCCTTTAACCTTTTACTTTGAAATGATATAAAATACAACTAAACTACAAATTTTGAAGGCTCCCACAAACCCTGTGAAATTGCAGGTGGACCAACAATTCACACTCCACAATGTGCCTGACTGTTGTTAGCATTTCTCTTCTTTGTAATAAGAAAATATGTAAAACTGAATTATGCTTAGACGAGTAAAATACAGTCGGTAAAGCTTGTGATGATTTCGCACAACATCTGCATATGACAACAGCAACACCTGGTTACTAATTCTGCACATGAGAATGTAATTGGAGAAGGCGACGCCTCTCAACAGAAGACCTGATATGTGATAAGCTTATGGTACAGTTTTCTGGTGAAAAAATCAGGATTTCATGTCATTTTGTTGCTTAACATTGTTCATCACCATATAAGCTTTCACAGAATGGTTATGCAAAACCATCACCACAAGCTACTTTTTGCTCCATTTAAAGCCATACCAAATGTAGACCGACAAGACATTACAAGAACCCCCATTTTTCTCTAAAACCATTTCATCTTTTCTTTGTGCCACTACAACTGGTTCCAATAAGCCATCAAGAAATGGAACTTAATCGGTTTGTTAATAATCGAATAAAGAGAAAAATGGTACACAGCGACAAAAAGGGAACAAAAAACTCACTGTTGCCCACACTTGGGAACCCAAATTACATTAACTTGATATAAATGAACAGAAGAAATAAGATGATTTGTGACTTTTTCTCATGAATTTACTTCTTTTAAGAGTTGAAGGACTGCTGCTTTTGTTGGTAGTGCAGGAATTGCTCCTTTCTGGGTTACAGTTTTGGCACCACAAGCATTTGCAAAAAGGAGAGCTTCTCTTAACCGCCTCTCATCCTGCAAATAAATCATAATCAATATTATTTTATAGATCAAAACCTAAATGGTTATGTCAACCTGTGAATTAGGTCTACAGAGGAACTGAACCTCAATATCTCATACTGAACTGCAGTTATTTTGTTCACCTAAATCCGAGAAGTGGTTGGTTAAAAAGTCAATTGCAGACCAAATGCTTAATCCAGATGGTAAGTAGTGAACCAAAATGCAATATTTACTTCTCTAAGCTAATGTTTTAGCCTTTTGGTGAGATAATGCATGTGCTATTCCGGTAATTCAAAATTTTATCTAAGCAGGATATAGATGAATACAATGGGCAAAGATTGCATAAAGAACTAGTATTTCTAAAGGAAAAGGACTATGGTTGGTATATCATTCAGCAGTTACTCAAATACATGCCCTAGAGGACAGCAATGTCATATTATTTCTCCACATGCCACGAGGGAAATTCAACAATCATGAAAGGCCAAGTTATCGTGGTGAATCCAAAAACATGTTTTTGCTTCATAATGTTCATCTATGTATTAGCTTGTGTGTAATAAAGATCAATAATTGTAGGAGCAAGGGCAAGTTTCCATCATGCTTTCCATCTATTCTGTTCATCCAAATTATAAAGATCCACAAAATGTGTTTTATACATTTATCTCCAAAAAACTACTTCACAAAGATGAAATTTGAGCTTTCCTAGTTTATTCTTGGAAACAGAGACATAGATACTGATTTTCAATAATTACTAGGTAACATAGCATGAAGCTATGATTTGTGAATGATAATTGGGCAAATATCTTATTTATCTAGCATTTCTGTTATGGTCATTGCAGCATATAGAATATTTCTGATTTAGTATACTATGTGAAGATTTGGGAACCCTAAACAAAAACATTGCATACTTTTATAAGATTAATAGTGATGGATGGTTTGATATAAATAAAACATAAGGATCTGATAAGACTCGGATGTAGTACTACATACACAAATAATCAGAAGCAAACATGAAACACATCATAACCAAATGATTTCTCCCAAGTCCCAACACGTTTGAGAATTATATACCTGATAAAGATTTACGTCAGAGGCTAAACTGTACAGCATCCCACCAACAAATGCATCACCGGCACCAGTTGTGTCAACAGGTTTAGCTTTAACACCAGGAACCCTACCATTGAATTGCTGCATAATTTTTTATTAATTTCAATGGCTCAGCTGATTAGAAATAATATGAATAGAAAATCAAACCACCCGAGGAAATTATCTCAACTTGATAAAACACTAGCCAAGACTCCCACCATTGCTAGGTCTAGGGAGCGGCAAATATATGCAACCTAACCTCCACATGCAAACCAAGAATAAGTTCTTATGATCATTAAACGTCACACATCCTCTCAAGAGGTACGTGTTCTAAGTCACCTCCAGATTTATAATTTTTTTTGGTAAATTATAAAATCAAATATCATAAATTGGAGTGTTCAACTTGTTAGGTGCCTAGTTATAAACTAATGAAAATCATCAATAAGATCAATTATGAAGAAAACCATGCAAACTTTGTACCAGTCATTTCTACCGATGAAAACCAATAGATGCATATAAAATAGGTTACTTTGGGTGTTCTAATGAGATCCATGGACTTTATGATGCAAAAATGATAAACAGATAAGCTTACTTTGGTGTAGTATCTGCAACCTTTAGATCCTTCAGTTACAACCAAAAGCTTAAGGTTAGGATGGAATAGCTTCTTTAGCACCACATTATCATCATAAGGATCATCACCTTCAGTCAAGAATGATATTTCGTCTTCACTTATCTGCCAGTTCATTAGAAAACCCCGGTGAATTCATTAACATGGTGATCCTGTTATGTATCACATATGCAATTAAGATGCTATTATTTTAGCCCTTAGCAAAATCTCAAGAATTTCCCATCTAAATCTAATGTATTCAAAAATTAACCTTAATAACATCTGCTTGGTCCCATATGCTCATTATTCCCTGCCGAGCAGCATCTGCTGAAGGCCATAATGGTAATCTCAAATTTGGATCATAAGAGAGGATGGTACCATACTTTTTGGCAAAGGCCATTGCAGCAAGATGTGCTGACCTACATGGTTCTTCAATCAAACTAATTGAGCCATAGTGGAAGATCTTTGCCTGCATTGAACCAGACGCAATAAATCTTGTATTTTATTCCAAATCAAAGGAAGGAAAAGGAACTTAAATTTCACCCCGCGCGCGGGGGAGGGGACAGGAAATCACACCTGCTTTATTAGGTCAAAATGAAGTTCTGATTCATGAAGAAGCATATCAGCACTAGGATTACGGAAAAACAGGAACTCACGCTCGCCATCGGCTCTGAGTGTCACAAATGCCAGTGCAGTTCTTGCGTTGAGGTCAAATCTCATTCCAGAATTGTTGACATTGTTTTGTTTCAAAATGTCAGCCAACATGTACCCAAATTCATCCTTGCCTACCTAGTATACAATTGGCCAAGAATTCATAAATATTAAGTTAGACAAGGAGCCTTTGACAATGGAATTGCACACAGAGTGCAGCAACATTAGGAACTTTCCACTAATTGAGACAGTGGAAACAGGAACATGACTTTTGACTATAACATAAGCATTCATAAGCAGAAAAGCAGACATAAAATGCATTGCTGTTGAGATAACTAGTTAAGCCAAAACATTAAAGAAGTGTAAACAACCTAGTCTATGAGAAATTCAGTAACATAACAACCAAGTTGCATCCCCGTGTCCAAATATTCTAGAATTTAATGAAGACTAGTCATGCAGCTGCACCTAAAACGTGTAGTCCTAACATTTCAGAATTCAATGAAAGCAAGACTAGTCACATAATTCCCATGACTCCTCTCCTCCTCCAATGCACACTCTTTAGATAAAGCCGCCATGTATTTTTTTGTTTGGTCAAAATATTTAACAAATGTTATATTTCATGATCATTATTTCAATAGGTACATAAAACTTAATCTGATTTCTCTTAAGTTTTGCTGCTATAAAATTATATGTCAATGACCAGAACTTGTCCATCACGGTTGGCAAGTGTCCAAGAAGTATCAACCATGTGTCTGTACTTCTTACTTGAGATTAAACTAATATATTGCACAACGTAGACGAAGAAAATAGAATATTTTAGTGCACCTTGCCAATAAAAGCTGAAGAACCTCCCAATCTTGCTATACAAACAGCAACATTAGCAGGAGCACCACCTGGAGCTTTTTCGAAGGCAGGTGCTTCCGCAAGCAAAACTCCTTGCACTGTTGACACAAAGTCAATCAACATTTCTCCAAAGGAAACAACCAGTGAACTGTTCCCCTGTGACCCTCCATCTTTATTTGAAGGCAGATCTTTGGAATTATCTACATAAATAAAATTACTTGAGATAAACAAAATTGCAGCAGTAAAAAGATTGAATTGTATTGATTGATGAAAAGGAATCTTTCATCTTCTTTTAATACGGATTCCACACTGACATGATTGCTTGAAAAGGTATGATGAATACAAAGATGCAATTAGGAAGTTTTTCCTGCTTAAATTACACAATCACAATAAATCAGCAAAACCCTTATCCCAACTTGACTGTCAGCATAATTTTTTTTTGTAAGGACTACATAAACATGTCAGACAATGGCTACAGAAAACAAATAGGGAGCTGCTTAGGACATCTAAACTAGACGGATTAGAAACGATAAAACAGTAAATTCCCATGTTATGGATGTGTATATTCTGACCCCCTGTGTTTACCAATCCATACTAGCCTTGATTAAGGTTTCCTAGACAGTCCCTTAACAATCCCAGATCAAGTTTTTAATTTAAGAGCTCCAAATAACCTGACATGTAGTGAATTCACACAAGAGGAAGGACCCTTTGGTTTCCCAATATCACGAGAACTCAACCCATATTTGCTTACTGAAACAATTCTACAAAAAACCCAAGAACCAAGTCTTATGTTTCCATGGCATAAGAACCACATTCACTCATCAAGATGTAAAGATACACATACAAAAAAAAAAACCCAAAAAAAAAAATTGAAAAAGATCTATTCCCTGTATAAGAAAGAAAGATCTAGTTATGCAAAATTCTTTCAAAGAATACAATTCAATAGATATGTAAAGAAGCCCATGATCGAAAACTTACACATAAAGAATCATAAGCTTGTAAAACAAGATTTTTGGAACAATACAAGATTTTCAAATATACAGCTGATTGTATCAGCATGTATACATACCCATGTATACATATAGAGAGAGAGAGAGACATATGCGCGCGCGCGCGCAGATTAAGAAGGAAGGAAGGAAATTGAAAACAGAAACGAACCTGAAGTGGGTTCTTCAGCCATTTTCGTGATGTGAGAGAGAGAGAGAGGTAGCACGCTTGAAACAGAGAGCCGAAGAAATGTCTTAATGTCTCTAGTAGTCAAGGGGATGAATCTACTCGTATATGAATCTCTGAGTGGCGTTTTATTTTTCTATTTATTTATTTCTTAACTTCCTCACCACTTGTTACCTTTTTTTTTTATAACAAATTTAAGAGAAATTTTATTTTTAAATGGGAAAAGCTTTGAACAGTGGGCCCACTATTGTACGGCTTAGTTTACTGATTTTCAACTCCGTTTCAATCCACAGATTTCTAATTCCAGTAATCCATAGAAAATTAAATTAAACTAATAATAAGTTGAAATCATGTAGGATCCACTTAACCAATGGCATTTCTCTTACGAGTATATTTTTTTAGTTGAGGTTTGCGGGCCATATTTTTTCAGGCTAGATGATAAAAGAGAATAAAGAGGACTTTTTTTTTTTTTTTTTGCACAAAAGGGGATTATACTAATTATAAAGAGGATACATTTTATTTTTTTTGCAGGGAACAAGAATAAATCATATAAAAAAATTAGGAATTTATTTTTGTGAAAAACACAAAAACAAATTCATTTTTTCTCTTTTTGTTTAATCACATAATTGAGATAATTTTTTTTTTTGAAATGTGTAAAGTCAAATTAATTATTTAAAACAAATTTACTTATTAGTGATCGGAGAGCTCACCACAAAAGCTATCGCGATACTATTATTCTTTTCTTAGTATAGAGTGGTGGACTGACATGGCTCTCTATAATTATGATTACAGCTAATATGATACGGCGACTTGTCACTTTTATTATTATTATTTTTTGGAGAGAAAAAGGTAGGAGAAGGAAGTGCCATGAGGATGTAGGAGCAAAAAAAAAAAAAAAAAAGCATGGGGTCTGTTTATTGGCAATTGGCAAGCCCCACACCAAATGGTTTGGGTCAGAAGAAAACACTGTCACACTAAAAATAAATAAATAAAATTTGTTGCATTACTGATTCTCTAAGTCAAGATAATATGGAAAATGTTACTCTCATCTCCTATTTGTCTTATTTCCTTTTTTTTTTTTTTTTTAATATTTTTAAAACAAATTTAACACAAGACCTTTTTTTATTATTATGATTTTTTTTTTTTCCAACTCTCTCAATCCAATCTCTCACATTAATCATCAAAAGGTTGTACCTTAATGACATTTCTCCCCTTTCTATTAGATAAATGTTTAAGTCTCTCTAGAAATAAAAAAAAGTAGGTGTCTAAATTCCTGATAATGTAAGAAAACCTAATAGTGAACTCCTATTTAATTTTTACAAAACTTCAGCACAAGTAAGGCATTTTATCTAAATCCACCCGTATATATATGTACATATATCACATTAAATTGGTACGGGTGGATTTAGATAAAATGCCTTACTTGTGCTGAAGTTTTATAAAAATTAAATAAGCGTTCACTGTTAGGTTAATTTTTGTGGGTTTTTTATTTATTTATTATTGTCGGTAGGGTTGGAAGGTTCAATACAAAGAGTCCAGACAGTTTGGACTATTTTATCTTTTGAAACACATAAAATGATAATGGCTGTTATTTACAAAAGGCAACAAAAAATAAAAATAAAAATAAAAAATTGCAAAAATTAAAGGGAATGATCTTGTTGAAAATACAACGGAGGAAAGGATCGCAAATTGACAATGACGCAAAATCAGTGAAAAGTGAAAACACTCTTGTGGTAAAACTGCTCTTTTTTCATGAAAAAAGAGTTGGCTACTTTGACTTGGCAACACATGTAGAAACAATTCACCAAATTTGTGAAACAAAAGAGCTTGAACAATACATAACTGTCCGAAAAGATTGAACATCATGGCTGCTTTTTAACTCTTTTATTTAGATCCACCGAAAATTCTAAAAATGTTTATTTTTTTTTTATTTTTAAAGGAAAATAAGTATTTGCTTGAGAAACAGCCCAAATTTGAAATTACAAGAAAGTCGTTTCACTTACTTTTGCTACTCTGATTGAACAATTGTTGAACAAAACAAATACCATATTTTGTTACAATCCTTCAAATATATATATATATATATATTTCTTTTTCTTTCTTTGAAACATTGTGCAATATATTTGGTATTGGAATAATTTGGAAGTTGTTTTGAGAAATAGCAATAATTATGTCAAGAAAAAATAATATTAAGCTAGAAATCGTTCAAAATATATATACGAAAAAGTGTTAGAATATAGTTATTCATAAAATATTCAAGGATTCGAAAAGCATTAGGGATTAGGGATGGTTATATATATATATATATATATGATTTTTGAGAATTAGTGAAAATTGCACTATAATTAGTGTTGTTTAATTAGAAAATTGTGAATTTTTGTATGCTGATACTATGGAAAATGTTTTCTATTGTCATATATATATATATATATATAATGATAGGTAATACATCAAACCTCTTTATTTCATGAAAATTTGAATCATTAACCTTTCATTTGAAAAAATAATATATCATCCAGAACAAACTTGAAAATTTCAAACTAAGAATAGGGTTCAGCAGGGTTGACTTGTGATCCAATTTGATTTGAGATCCACTTTTAACGAATTTGAATTATAATTTTGAATTGAAATATCAAAAATGAGTTTGATATCGACTTTTCTTGAAAGATGATACAAATATATATATTTTTGTTATTAGAATTTGTTTGAATTATTAGAATCTTATTATATAGAAAGAAAATAAGTAAAGAATAATTTACATCTAATATTGAGATTTTACAAAGCGTCCCCCAAAAAAAAAAAAATAATAAAATAAAATAAAATATGGCTGAAAATATAGTTGGACTTTTCATGACCCGTGTTTGTTGTTGGTTTATTTGGGCTTTGGCCCACTGAATCCTTAAAAAATTAAAAAATCATTATTCATAAAGCAGCTCACGAGAACTCTGTAGTTTCTAGATAAGCGTTCAGTGGCCATGTGGCAACTGTGACTTTCAATTTTCAATAACCAATTATGATATTACTAATCAATCAGACAATGTCTTGGATCTTTCCCTTCGTATTCAAATCATAAATCAGTTACTCAGCATCATCTTCTTCAGCACTTTCTCTCTCTAGAGTTTGAAGTACAGAACAGTGATTCATGGCGTTCTCTGTGAGACTAGAGACCGTTATATTATCATCTCCCAAACTCACACGATCATCATCATCCAATGCCACTCTCTCTCATCCGATCAGATCTTCCTCTCTCCTCAGCTCATCCCCTCTCTTCCCCACCCTCTCACTTCCCAAACACCCTCTCACATCTTCATCTTCTTCACTCACCATCAGAGCCTCTTCGCCTTCCTCTTCCCCATCCACCACACTTGCTGAAGGCATAAAGGTCTCTCTCTCTATATATATATGTATGTATATGCGTAGTCAAATATAAATGCGTGTATATATCACTCACTTTTTATTTTATTTTATAATTTTTTTCAGATTAAGTCAGTTCCAACGAAGCCGATCGAAGGTCAAAAGACCGGGACGAGCGGTCTTCGAAAGAAGGTATATTTCTCTCTTCGTTCTCTTACTTGATCATTATTATTTATTTTTGGCTGTGAATTATGTTATGTTTGGAATAGTCCCCTTGAATTTGGAGTTGAAAAAAAAAAAAAAAAAAAAAAAAAAAAAAAACAACTAAATTTCCTCAAATTCCAAATTCAAGGCGCCAATTCACTACTTCCAAATGCAACATTACTTAATTTCTTTGCTGTTGAAAATTTTGAGTTCTTATTGAATTAGAATATTAACTCTTAGTTTTATGCTCAGGTTAAAGTATTTATGCAAGAAAATTACCTTGCCAACTGGATTCAGGTTTGAATTTCTATTACGCTGTGATACTTAAATTTAATGTTTTAGGTTGTGTTTCAATTGTGCTTTTTATCTATTGGTAAGGGTTTTGTATATGTAGTCATTGTTTAGTTCGTTGCCGCCTGAGGATTACAAGAACGGATTGTTGGTGTTAGGAGGTGATGGTCGTTATTTTAATAAAGAAGCTTCACAGGTTATTTTATGTTACTTGGTGCTTAAATTGTATCAGTTCGAATTCATTCATCTGTTTATGCTTCTTGATTTTGTTTGGATTTTATATGCAGATAATTATTAAGATCGCCGCTGGGAATGGGGTTGGTAAAATTTTGGTTGGCAAGTGAGTATCTTAACTGTGAGTGATTCAAATGCCTAAATTAGAACTGGATATCCTCAATTCCAGATATGTGTCAAATTCCAAGACCAATACCGTGAACTAATCATGGCCCAAATTAAATCTGCTATGGATTCATGATTGAGTTATTCTGAATTTGAGTTTATTCCCCCCTTAATTATATAATTCGCCAACCCAAATTTATTTTTTTGTTGTAGAAAAATGAATAACTTGGTTTTTGTTTTGTTCAATTGCTAGTTTTATAGGTTGCGTAAGTAAATATTTGAAAAAGGAAAACTACCTACAAAATAACTGGAAGTGAATTTGATTTTTATATATTCAATTTAAACATAGGCCAATTCTAAAGGCTTAGATTCATAAGCATTTGAAGAAACTAAATGGTTAAAAGATATTTATGTCATTTTCTTATCTTGAATTTGAACTCTTTTATTTATTTATCTGGTGGAGAATCACATGGATATTTTTGGATTTCTGGAGATATCTTTCATTTCAGCAATGTGGTTTTACTTTGATGAGTTTGGTTGTGGAAACTAAAGATAAAACCTTATTATAATAGGGAAGGTATTATGTCAACTCCAGCTGTTTCTGCTGTAATCCGGAAGAGGAAGGCAAGCATGTGCTACTCTTTTTTCTCTATCTTTTTTTTCTATATAGTGACCTTATTCGGATCCTTTTCAGTATCCTTTTGCTTTTCATTGCTGCGAATAAGAAAAACTATCTTCACAGGCCAATGGTGGTTTTATAATGAGTGCCAGTCATAATCCTGGTGGTCCTGAATATGATTGGGGTATCAAGGTGAATTGCTACCCTCAAACTCATGGATATAATTGATTTCAAGCATTTTAAATTTGCAACTCGTTGTTTCATTCACAGAGTTGCTCACTTTCAAACTTGTATGTGCATTCATGTTTAGACAATTTAAACATCACTTCATTGCATAATTTCAATGTAACAATTGCTTTGTTTATTGAGCGAAATCCTTGTGTCAATGCAAAATTTTCTAATTTCCTCGTCATTCATAGGTCATAATCAACTTTATTGCCACAGTTTTTTTGCAGAAGATAATTGTTGCACAAAATGCCAATATAAAATTACTTGTTACTCAACTGGTTGATGCTTTCTAATGCATAATGCTATTCTTTTCTCTGTTCATTTCTAGTTTAATTACAGCAGTGGGCAACCTGCACCAGAATCCATCACCGACAAGATCTATGGGAACACACTTTCTGTAAGTATCTCCACTATATTAATGCCTGGAATTAATTGCTACTTCATATTCAATTTATAAAATATAATTGCTACTTGTTTGATAAATGGATAACTAGTAAGCCTTATATTCCTAATTATATACACAGCAAATCCACTCTCCTCTGCACACTCCCGTTTGTACATTAGCCATATGAAGAAACCAAATATGTGTCTCGCACTTCATGATGTATGAAAATTCTCTGAACAGATAGTAGTATTTATTGAAAAGGAAATATCCTCTGTATAAAATTTGTCATTATTTGCAAGGGTGATGGATGTGTCTAAATACATGCTTCTCTTGTAGAGATTTCCTTTCATTTATGTTTTATAGTAGTTTGAAGTTCAACAAACTTTCTGTTTGACAGGTGGAAAAACTTTGCTTTGAGCACCATAACTTTTAAGGCCCTCACTCCTCGCATCTGATGATACTTAATTAAACTTTGCATTTGTAGCCGAATTAATCCCCCTTGTGAAGGTTATGAAAAACTCTGCTTGTTAAATTCTTTAAATTTTAGGCAGTTCGTTACATTATGGAAGAAAATTATCCATATTGGTGACATACTCTCAAGAGAGTTGTTTATCAATGAAAAAAATATACTGTTTTTATTTCTTTGGACTAGCTGCACTAGCTATGGCATGAAGAACAATGCTTTAAGGTCTATCCTGGTAGAGGGGAGTGAAGAGGTGAAACTCTTGCAGAGAATGAGATTAGACATTTGATTTGCAGAAACATTCTTGAGTCATTAGAAAAGCTAAATCTTAGAAGCATATCTCCAAATGAAATATTAAGTACACTAAATGAATTAAATGAGGGGCAACGGTGGAGAAGGATGTTAATTCCACTCTTTGTGGCATTGTGAACAGATGAGGAAGAACAATATTCTGACATTTTATTTTATTTTATTTATTTTATAATATTCCAAAGCCTAGTTAGCTGTTTAGATCCTGTTGACTGTGCATGGTGCCTGTGGTGGCTTCTCAATTGGAGACGTGCAAATCCAATGAGTTTTGAGGGCAATTGATGAGTTTTGAGGGCCATTGATATTATAATCCCTGTAGAGAATGATTTTTAGACCTCTTCTCTACACTTTCCCTTTGTTTTCTCAGCTTAAAAGGCATTCCACCCGGTGTTTTTTGCTTCATTGAACTAGTAATCTTATGCAAAGTTCATGCCGGCAACTAATTATTAAGATTGTTCTGTTGATTCCGTTGTATATTCTGCACAAGTTGGATAGGCTCCTTGTACACAAATTAATAAAAGTGAGCAGCAGGTTTAAAGGATTATATCCCATGACCATGTTAGTTGGGTGGAACATTCAGTTTATTACCAGCTTATATGAAAGATCCATGCTATTAGACTGCATTCGTAAACACTTGTAGCTGGCTCTATGTTGGGAACTAAAGAATCAGCATGTTACATTTATTGGTTGGGTAACTTCTTAATTTTCAAATAAAAACATATTTTGCTCATAACATGTTTTTCCTTTCTCATCTTTCGTCTTTGCCAAAATCACTGCTTTACCTTATTTCATCTTTATTCATGTTGTTTCCACTGTTGGATTCTTTTTCCTTTGTTCCCCATAAAAGATTTGGTTTTCAAAATGTTGTTCATTTGACACTAGATGCCAAAATTTGAGAATTCTGTGAATTACATTTCACTTGATGTGAGGTGCCAAAATGTTTCAAGTCAAACTTCAACTTGATGATATCAACCAGCTTATTTGTCTGAGCATTGTAACCTGAGTTCGGCCCACTTTAGTTTATTAATTTCTGCATTTGAAGTTCGAATGGAATGAATGTCTATGCAGATCTCTGAAATTAAGATGGCAGAAATTCCAGATGTTGACCTCTCTAATCTTGGAGTTACAAAGTATGGGAACTTCAGTGTCGAAGTAGTTGACCCTGTTTCTGACTATTTGGACCTAATGGAGGTGAGGAACTAAATATTTGATAATTCATGTGGATTGGGTATCAAAATATGCATCTTTATAATTTTAATATGATAATTCATGTCACGACCAACTGCTATTTTGTATTTTTAGTATGACAATCTCTGTGGATTATCTCTCAATAACTGTATGGATTTATTTGCAGGAAGTATTTGATTTTTCACTAATCAGAAGTCTTCTTGCACGGTCAGATTTCAGGTATGCAATGAATGCCCTCTGACCTGGTGGTAATACCTGGTAGCATTTTGTTCTATTAAGTGGTTTTCATTTATTTACTTTCCTTCTAAAGGTGAATGGATATATGGGTGTTGGGGAGAGGAGGGGGAAGGGGGGTTGCAATAATCATGAATCTTTTCTTGCATACTTTTTAACAGATGTGAGCATAATAGATGGGTTAGTAACCAAAATATACTTCCTTAACAAACAAATATATTCCTTTATAAATTTGGGTCATACTCAGATGTACGCTCCTGTATGATGTATTTTTCATTTTAACATATTTGTCCATGTGAAATTTGTGTAATCTCTACTAATTCAATAAAGCCCTTCCCATCTAATTGCAGACAGTTATTCAGGTCTTTCGCTATACCACTCTATCTAGGATCATAATTTATGTTCAAATCGTAGCCCATATATCAGCTTGTCATTTTCTCTACCTCACTTGTGTCTTTTTCATCCTTGTAACTTCTTACATTGAATCTTTTTTCTCTAACAAATTCTGGAGACAGAAAATTGAGGAAACCCAATTGTCAACCAGTTACATTTGGACCAACACATTCCACTACTAAAATCAATAAACTTTTTCCAACCATTTGGGGTCTGCTCATGAATCTTGTCATGCCATTTTGCTATATCTAGGGCCATAATCTCAATCAACAAACAAGTTAGCATATATTTTCTTGCTATCTCAACCTATATTTCTTTCCTTGTCACCATTCCTCTAACACCACCCTAAATGTGAAGCATTAGCACACCGTCTTTCTCATTTGGTGCAATTATTAGTCTTCACTTAATTTGGCTAAACCATCTTAATCGATTTCCTCATATTTTATCTCCAATTGGTGTTACTGTAACCGTCGCATGGATGTGTTCATTTCTAATTTTATCCTTTCTTGTCTTTCCACATATCCATATCAATATTTGTGTTTCAACCATGCTTATTTGTAAATATGCCGTTTCTTAGCCGTCTAACATTATCTCATAAAACATGACTGGTGTAATAGTTTTTTGCCTTTCAATTTTAGATGTATAGGTTGATCACACAATATGCTAGAAATACTCCTCCAATTACCCCATTTTGTTTTAGTTTTATGATTAACATATCCAAATTCTCTCTCTTTGTGAATAATCAAGCCTAGATAATGAAAAATGTTCGCTTCCTTCGATTTTCACTACATTCCATTTATATTTCGAGATTTGTTAAAGTTAAATACCATGTATTCAATTATAGTCCTGCTAAAGTTACATACAAATATATCCAATCTATAGTACCATATGAAGTTTTTCTTTTCTTTATTCTTTTGTCATTTGTCTCATTGATAAGTAAACATCTTATATTGTTGACCTGAACTTCCCGGCATAAATTTAAATTGATTATTCGCCACTATAATTTCACGTTTTAGTTTTATTTAGTAAATATATTTCAAACTTCCATAGTAACCGATACCATGGAATCTGACAGCCATTAAATTGGGAAAAAACAAAATTTTCTCTTGGAGGAAATTTTTCCTAGGATTTACCCCCCTAAAATGCAAATTTGGAATATTTTGTAATAAAAACTAGTATTGCTTCATCGTCATAATTAACAATTCTCATAAGTACTGAATTCAGCAAAAATTTACTTCTCAAGTTGTCAGAAAGATTCAGTTCAGTGTTTCTACCTTTTATTTTGTTTTATAATATTAGCATTGTAGTTCAACTTTGGAACTCAAGATACGGGTTCGATATATGTACTCTCTTTGAATTTCACTTGGATCCCGCCCCTAGTCTGTTTCATTTCAAAATTTCACCATTTTAGTCTTCTCTAATTTTTGTAATTTTCTAATTTGAACGACTATTATGTCTCGTTTTGTATGTAAACCCAAATAATATGTTTGGCAGAGGGAGGAAGACCAGAGAGAAACTGAATAATTCTGAATCATTTCACATGTGATGTTATTTTAGGTTTGTATTAATAGAAATATAAAAAGAATAGAAAGGAGATAATTGTGTGAAGGCTTGAATGAGATAAATCACTCATTCACAACTCTAGTATTTACGGATGAAAAGAGCACATGCTTATATTACAAGAAATGAAATTAAGTCAAATCTAAATCACACCAAAGCATATTCTAAAGCGTATTTTATAGCATAATCTGATCTTTGCTAATACGGTAAGTCATTTCATAAACCGTGGCTATCATATTTGCTAACACTCCCCCTCAAATTGGTGCGTGAATATCTGAAACGCCGAACTTGGACAATGCATTCTCAAACACAATCTTGCCGATACCCTTTGTAAGAATATATGGGAGCTTGTGATAAATGGAGTGCGAATCTGACTAACGATGATTTTCTTTCAAATGAAGTACCGACCAACAAATCAAAAATGTCTCCTCAGACTATAAACAAATAACAATGTCTCCTCAAACCATAAACAATCAATCATGTCTCCTCAGACCGTAAACAACCAACAATGTCTCCTCCGATGATAAACAAACAACAATATCTCCTCAGACCATATCCCTTCATACACATGTTTAAAACATGTAGATGGAAGAATCAACAATGTCTCCTTAGACCATTCCCCTTCATACATATGTTTAAACAATGTAGATGAAAGAATCAACAATGTCTCCTCAGACTACAAAAAGAAACAACTTTGTCTCCTCAGACCATTTCCTGAATAAGTGGTGCCAAACTCACAACGCCCTTATTGAGGTCGGACCACCCTGCCTACCTAACACCTCCTAAATGGGCGATGTCACCTTAGACTATTCCCAAATGGGTGGTGCCGAACTCGTAATGCTCTCATTGCAGTCGGACCACCAGTTTAGTCTTCTCTAATTTTTGTAATTTTCTAATTTGAACGACTTTTATGTCTCATTTTGTATGTAAACCTAAATAATATGTTTGGTAGAGGGAGGAAGACCAGAGAGAAACTGAATAATTCTGAATCATTTCACATGTGACGTTATTTTAGGTTTGTATTCGATGCCATGCATGCAGTTACGGGTGCTTATGCAAAACCCATCTTTGTGGACAAGCTAGGGGCAAGCTCGGTATGTTTTGCATCTAGTATATTTTATAAATTAAGAATTTTGAAGTTCTTGAGTGCAGATATTTCTCATATCTTGTAGGATTCAATATTAAATGGAGTGCCTTTGGAAGATTTTGGCCATGGTCATCCAGATCCTAATCTTACGTAAGAAAGTAATACCTCTGAAGTGGATGGAAAATTACCATTATTACAAACCATTATTAATTCTGACTTATTTTTTGAAACAGATATGCTAAGGATTTGGTCAACATCATGTATGGTGAGAATGGGCCTGATTTTGGAGCCGCAAGTGATGGTATGTAGAAAAGATTAAAAGATGCAATTCTTGTGTTAATCATATAGTGTGTCTATTACTTGCTCTGTGTTCTCAAGGTGGTTCTTGAACTGGTTTTGTTCTCTTAAAAATGAAAAATAGAAAATTTTGAAAACAAAGACCAGAAGCTTGAATGATATAAAAGTTGACATTGACTAAGGGATGAGTCATCAAATTTTGTATTGTTAGCTTAATAAAAATCTTATTTCAAACAGTTGGGGTCAACTACATGAATCATTTTCCGCATCACACGCATTTTATGAAAAAATTACTCATCTTTGTTGCAGATTGTCATCTTAACTTGCTCTTTATCTTGTCCTCAATTTAATTGGCCCCTAATATCTCCAAAGGGCATTCTGTCCAAATTCTGTGTTCATTGTCTTATCACTCATTCATATCAACATAATCTTTTAGCTGCATCACTTTATACACATTTTCTTTTCCCCGACTTCTCAGCTTCTGTATCATAGAGCTTGCAATGGTGCTTGTATATTATTCTTTACTATGAGTACTCGTTTACAAAAGCTATAGTAGTTTGCTTGTTCAAAACGAGCTGGCGACTGATAAATAGTGGCTTGGTTGAAGGAACCAACTGGAATGCTTCTGGAAAATGATTTGGCTCTGATTCATCAAACCACAGGCCAGAGATCAGACCAATACTGCACACTTAACTGGGAATATAATTATTTAATTCAGAGAAACCTTGTGGAGGACCCAGGAATATATGGTGTTATTCTTCGGACTAGGCTTTCAGAATAATTGCTCTTTGTTGGATGTGCGATGCAGAAGAAGCAATAAATCTGATGGAGGGATTAGGTCTCTGAATCTTCTTGTGCAGATAGTATAAGAGTAATCTTTTGTGTTGTTACTTGTTAATACTGATACATCATCCTCTCGAGAAAAGAAAGGGCAGTAGAAAAATAGAGTTAATACTGACGCATATTCCCCGCGTTGTGGGAATATGCTTGAGTTGTCAGATAACACACTACTAAGAATGGAATTACCTTATAGTTAGTAATTTCATATAAGTTTTCTCACCAATCTAAACAAGCCAAACTCAAGCTTGATTCCTTACCAAACTAAGTTTGAGTAGCACAATGCTCAACTTGGGTAGTTGTGTGATTAATTGAGCAAGGTGTGGGGAGATTGAAGCGACACAACTCCTCATGGTACTTATCTTGAATGGACATATAAATAAAGTTATGACTAATAACTTGAAACCACTGAGGTGTTTGCTCTTTTTGAATATGTAGTGATTGGTACTTACATGTAAATTGTACTGATTTTAAGTTCTGGTGCTATAATAAACTGCTGAACAATGTAATAAAGAAGTTCAGTTTTAGGTTCATGAATAATCAGAATTAGCCAAACCTACATGGGCTAAAGCTCAGAGAAGTTTAGTTGAGTTCTAGTGAAGCTCAACGTTGGCTCAAGTTGGACTTTAAGTCAATTGGTTTGAGCCTGCACAACTTTTCTTGCTTGTCATGTATCCTTTTCTGCCTTATCAGAATGGATAAGCAATAACATTATAAGGTATATTACTTATGCACCATTTACAATGTAATCTATAAGTTCATTGCCCATTATCATTATGTATTTCTTCTTCGTATCTTGTTACAGAACTAGTTGCCCTGATAGTTGGTGCTATTATGGATCTTGGAATATATATTAAGCTCCCCATCATGGTGTAAGAGGGATCAACGTGGAGAGGTAGCAAACAGAGTGTCAATGGACAAGGGGGAACATATGTACCAAGTGTTTTGGTTCTTGGTGATTTTGTGGTTTGAACTTGGGACCGTTTGACAATAATACCATGATAATAACCTACTTTAAAAGCTTGAGCTGTTAATAATGGTCCAACAATGTCTATCAAACTGTCAGTTTCCCTCATGCGTGACTCCGTCTTGCATGTGGAATGTTAGATAGATATAGACAGTAAAGACTGCAAAATTACACTACAGTTGAATAGACTTGAAATCTAGGCTCTGAATCATGTTAGAACAGTGCTTGCTCCAAAATTTTAATATCAGCTTCCAACAATTTATGTGAAGTCTTCATCCCCCTCACTTTCAGTCCCCTCTCGCACGTAAAGAGATAAACAAACAAAGTGAACAGTTTAAACAAACGGACGAAATAAGGGAACAGACACAGAGACTTGAACCCGACACCTCGCTGAGCATATTATTCCATGTCTCACCACCATGTTAAGAGCAAATGTAAATTTCTGTTGACCCGAAGGGGTAAGTCACTTGGACCTGGTGCCTTATGAAGCATCAGGTCCTCTTGCGTGCAAACAATTCCTTCAGAAAAAGCGCCCGCCGGGGGGGGGGGGGGGGGGGTTATCAACTAGGAAAAAAAATATACATTTCTATTTTTTTTTTTTAAGTTTTATTTATATATTTTAACTTATAAAATAAATAAATAAATAAAAAGAAGTTTTATTTATATATTTTAGTTATTATGTGGAGTCAAACATATGTGACTATGTAACAAAGTCATGGACATCAATGTTCTGTTGACATGAATTATGTTTGGAATTCCAGAATGAGAATCCAGTGCCGCCAAGTTATTCTTCGATTAGTACCACAAGTTGTTTAGCCCCAAATAATTAGAATTTAAACTTATGTGAATCATTTTTCAACGTGCCATCTTAAAATTTTAATTGAGACTGTTTGATGAGATATCGAAGCAGGAAGTTGGGGGAGGGGAGATTAATTGTAGCTGAATTTACAACTTGCTACCTTATCCAAAAAACAAAAAAAAAAAATTGAATCTACAACTTGCTGTATGCTTGGCAATTAAGGGTGTGTGTACTTTTAGATGCTAACATAGGCATACTGAGAGCTTAGCAATAATGCCTAGTTGTAAGTCAAGTGTGCTTCAAGGTTAATATGTTGTGTTTAATGTTCAACAATTTGATACTTTCATTGTTCTTTGTATTGGTAACTATTACGTAATTTTCTTTTTCTTTCTTTCTTTCTTTCTTGTCTTTTTATTTATCATCCACAAATTGTTTACTTGGTAGCGTTGGCATGGATGTTGAATTAGAATATATGTTATGTGCCTTCACCATGATTCTAGTGTTGTTACTTTTTATTATTTTCAGGAGATGGTGATAGAAACATGATTCTTGGTAGAGACTTTTTTGTTACTCCTTCAGATTCTGTTGCAATTATTGCAGCCAATGCGAAAGCGATTCCATACTTCCAGAGTGGCCCTAAGGTCGGAAAGTTTTGTAGCTTTTCTTTCTTAAATATTTCCCTGAAACACAAAAACCCACTCCCTGTTTCTATGTTGTAGGGTTTGGCTCGATCTATGCCCACAAGTGGTGCTCTTGATCGTGTTGCTCAGAAATTGAATCTTCCCTTTTTTGAGGTTTAGCTGTTTTTGAACTAATGTTTTGTGCTTTACCTGGATAATTGATTGTTTACAACACAGGACACTTATGGCTATAGGGGTTCTTTTGCCCTGACAAACTATGACTCTTTTGGATTCAGGTTCCCACTGGTTGGAAATTTTTTGGGAATCTCATGGATGCTGGGAAATTGTCAATTTGTGGAGAAGAGAGTTTTGGTACCGGTTCTGACCACATTCGTGAGAAGGATGGCATATGGTATTTGTTTACATATACTGACTTGAGTATTCTTCAGTTCCTTTCGGTCTGTGGACTACTTAAATCTTTTTCCAACATGAATAAACTCGTTTCTTACCTCTGTTTTACTCCATTAAATGTGTCCTTGTTATACTTGTGTCTACTGCAAATTGGCTTAGTGACCAACTTGACTCCTGCAATTGATTCCTATAAGTTACATTTGGTTGTGCACAAGGTTCTAGGAAGCACTCAAGCAATTGCTAGTTTATTCTTGTTGGACAACAACTTATTGTCCTTTTTATATGTTCCATGATTTGTTCCATACCATGTAGAATCATTTCAAGCTCCAATTAACAGGGCGGTGTTAGCTTGGCTTTCGATAATTGCATATCAAAATAAGGTCAAGAAACCTGGGGAGAGATTGGTTTCTGTCTCTGATGTTGTGAAGGAGTATTGGGCAACATATGGAAGGAATTTCTTTGCTAGATATGACTATGAAGTAAGTGTGATTCTGTTAATTTTATTTATTTATTATACTTGGCCAGGTTTTGCAGTTACTTCAGTTCTAATCTTGTAATACTTGAAACTTTAAAAGTGGGATTAAGTTGCACTGTCTCTGAGGTTCATTCTTTTTGATATTAAGTTTATATTCAGGAATGTGAATCCGAAGGAGCCAATAAAATGGTTGAATATCTCAGAGATTTAGTCTCTAAGAGCAAGTTAGGTGATAAATATGGTAAGTTGTGCACTTGGTTTCTTTAAATTTATCTGGCCTTTCCTTGAAATCTTATCTTAGATGCTAAAAAGATTTCCTGTATCAGGAAATTACAGCCTTCAATTCGCAGATGACTTTGCCTACACCGATCCTGTAAGATAAAGCACTTTATGCAAGTTTCATCTTTTACTCTCTAGTGGTTTTTCACTAATAGATAAAACCTTGTAACTGTTGCTGCTGTATGCGTTCTACTTGGATATATACATTTGCTCAGATAGACGGAAGTGTAGCATCAAAGCAAGGTGTTCGATTTGTTTTCAGTGATGGATCAAGGATAATCTTTCGTCTATCAGTACGTGTTGACTCTCTCTCTCTCTCTCATTATTCTTGGGGATCTATCTACTACTTACTAGGGTAGAAAATAACTTAGTTTTGAATTGCAGGGAACTGGATCAGCAGGTGCAACTGTTAGAATGTACATTGAGCAATTTGAGCCAGATGTCTCTAAACATGATGCGGATGCCCAAATTGCACTAAAACCATTGATAGGTTAGTTCGTTGTTGAATTCTATAAGCATGCTTTTGCCATATTTTAATAATTCAAATCTTCTTCTTAGATCTGGCGCTCTCTGTATCAAAGCTGAAGGACTTCACAGGAAGGGAGAAGCCTACAGTTATCACATAGAGCAGACACTTCTATATTAATCTCACTTAATGAAACCTCTATCAGTAGCAATGTTGAAGCAGGTCCGGCGTTCCATCTTTTTTTTCCTGCGCGTTTTATGTTATATATTCTTTCCGTTCAGTTTTGGTTGCAGTATTAGCAATCATGCTTTGCAGGACAATGTCCCACATGTAAAATTGGTGTAACATTTCTCCTGGCAATAAAATATATATTTTTCGCTGATAGTGTTTCCTTGTTGATTCAGTACCTTAATTTGAAAAAAGAATACATATCACCCTAGTAAATTTATAGCATTTCTCATCCACATATTCTAATACCAAGCATACCTGAGGGGAAAAAAAAAATTATAATAAAACATGTTTTCGTAATAGTTCTGAGGGTGATTTTTGTTTTTGTTGGTTCAGTGCCTAAATAGGAGCATAAATAACACTCTAGTTAAGGTTAAGGTTGCCTAGTGGATATTTCTCACCCAGATATTAAATAACATGGCAACACCAATTATCATTAGATTCATTAATGGGCAAGTCTTTATTTATCCCAAAAAATGTATTATGCATATATGCATACATATTGTGTGTGTGTGTGAAGGTGCAGTCCTTTAGCCAGTGCTATTCCATTGTTGAGCTTCTTCACATGGCCAAGATACATGGATTATATGGTTGTAGGGTAAATAGTTAATTTGGCTATATCTACTTGGTTATTGTTAAACGTTTGGCTATTGTATGATTGGTTTTGCTCTTTTTCAGACCCCCTTTTCTGTCTCTCAATGATTTCTCTTCCAGTTCATGTATTTCAAATTTCTAACTTTAAGTTCAAAATTTTGGGTTGTGGAATGATTTGTACATGATTTCCTGTTTCCACGATCCTCTGAGATCAATTTGGAATGGCTTACAGATGCGAAATTCCTCGGTACAGGACAAAGCTTGGGTAGGGCAGAGGCAGGGAACATGAAGGTCCATGAGTGGAAGGCAACTAACATGGTGGAATGGTGAGGAAACAATAGGGTGGGGCATGTGAGAGTTCTCCCCAAGAACAATTCCCATGAAACTCTTGATGGATAGACCCAACAAGGTTGGATGATCCATACAACTATAGTTAGAGGATTGAGTATGTCACATTTAGGACAAATACAGTTTCATCCTCTTTTTATCCACTAAAAGATTTCTTACTTTCTCTTGTCTGTACCATTATTCATTTGGTGGGTCTGGTATGGGATTAGATCTTATTAAACATGGGGAGCATAAACAATCCCAATGGATTTTGGTTTGGATCTTTTGGAGAAAAAAGGTTGATTGATACTTGATGGCAATGCTTGGGATTCCTAAAGTATGGTGTTCACTTTGCTATGGATTTTCTTTACAATTCTCCCTCATCTCAATATCACCATTCTCTGCACGACACTCCATTCTCCGCACGACCCTCCTGTCATTGGTTTTGAATTTTTTTTTAAGAACCACATGCCAAAACCCGAATAAATAAATATTTTTAAAAAAAATTATCACTGTGTCAAAGTAAAAAAAATTCTGACCCAAACATTCAAGCCCCATGAAAATATGTTACATATTCTCTTTTTTTTTTTTTTTCTTAAATCTACTTATATATATATATATATATATATTTTTACGCAACGAAAAACGAACCCCCACATCGAAGCTGCAAGCTGCACAAATACGGTGTTTTTTTTTTTTTTTTTTTCTGCTGATGTATACGTGTATATTGAAGCCACACAAATGTGCATCTTTTTAACAAAATAATAATAATAATAAACACCATAGTAGAGTTTACATAGGCTCTTTCAAAAGAGTCTTGATTCATTTTCCCAAAATAGGTACTTAGGCTCTTTTAAAAAAGTCTTCTTAGATATTATTCATTTTTTCAAAATACGTATTTCATGAGAAAATGAATATCATTTAAATTTTTTTCTGAACCAAACACCGCATAACCATACAAGATTGTTTAGATGTCTACTATTTTTCGTAAAGATGATCGCCCGTAAGAGAGTCTGCTTAAATTTTTTCTGACTCAAATAAGATGTACCTATATGTATTTTGTTATAATAATAATAATAATAAATAAATAAACACCAACACTAACTGCACTTATTTTATTTTATTAAATGAATACCATAGCAGAATTTGCTTAGATTTTGTTTTTACCAAAGTAAAGTCTGCTTAAATTTTTTTGAGTCTTTTTTAAACACACAATTTTTACGACCCAAATATCGAAACTGCACAATTACATAAAATACGTAGTAATAATTTTTTTATAAAAAAAATTGAAGACACAACAATGAACAGTAGCTGCACGTATATGTGTTTGTTTTTTAGGAAAATGAACACAGTGGCATAAGAAATACTCTTCTGTAAATTTAGTTTTAAAAACACCAATAGTTTCTTACCCAAACATTAAACGCCACGGAAACATCGATCACGCAAATGAATAGTACCCGCACGTAGAAGTTTTCAGCAGTCTTCTCTGATTTTTGGAGAGTGTGCTTAGATTTTTTTAGCAGAATTTACTTAATTTTTTTTACTCAATGTAATCTTAAAACTTTTCACTCCACTGCATGTTTTACATAATCTGCAACTGTGTTAAACTGTATATTTAGACCCTAATACTATTAATACACAAACATAAACAAGTTTTTTTTTTTTTTGAGAAATTACTATAAAAAAAAATTTAAAAAAAAAAAAAAAAATGATTGAACCATAAAACAAATTTGCATCTAATGCATGTAGAATAATGAAGTATGGATTGAGGAGGATCACAGTAGGGTTTTGGGGGAAAAAGAGAAATTAGTATGGTAACAAGTAAGAAAGAAATAGATAATGTCACTTCTGCCTTTTAAAAGTTGAGAAGTATCTTAGTGGGAAGCATGAAGGACAAAATACAGTGTTATATCGAGTTATATGAGATTTGAGTGCATGATGCACCAAGATGTCACTTAAGGGGTGGTGGTTCGCAAAATGGAGAAGAAAGCTTGGAGTTACTCTTTAAAAAATTACTTTTTCACTGTTACAAGTGAAGTTTGTGTAGTTCCTGTTCTAGTTGCACACTTGGCTTCCCACATATGTTGGTCGGGAACAACAATTGGATGATCTGTATCATGGAGATATGACTAGCCAAACTCTTAACACCTCACATGTCCCACCTTTATTCCAATCTTGTCTCATAATTCAAAGAGACAACAACTTGTAAAGAAGGACTACTATAGTTGTGTTATAGGGTATACAAGTTTGACAAAAAAAAAAAAAATTCAATAATTTTTTGTTATGTAGATGTTTGACAAAAATCTAATAATTTTTGGTTATGTAGAACAGTAGAAGTTTGACAAAAATCCAATAATTTTTTTTTATCTAGAAGTTTGACAAAAATCCAATAATTTTTGGTTTTTAGAGTAATATTTTAAGAAAGAGCAGTGTGTACCACTTGTGAGGGGGGCACAAAACAAAATTCCTATTGATTACTTGAAAGAAACTAGAGTTCGTTTTTAGAGAAATATTTAAACAAACTTGTTTTTAAATTAAGTTTACCTTTCCTATTTATAAATTAAAATAAAATTTAGAATTTTTTTTGTTTTTCTAGAGTGATATATTTGTTAAAAAAAATTAACCAGAAAAATACATTTTTGAAACCTTTTGTTTTTTTAGAAAGATATATTTGTTAATTAAAAAATAATTGTGTCTTTAAGATATTTTTTTTTAGAAAGATATATTTGTGAAAAAAAAATTGTGTGTTTTAAAAGTTGTGAATGGGCAACTTTCCATGTTATAAACACCAACCATATTTATTCCGTATATAACCGCTAATTGCCCTATGCATTAGTACCCTTCTTTTCAGTTCATACTAGAAATAGTGATTTTTGTTAGTTGAAGGGTTAAAACAAAAAATATATATATTTAGAAAAAGAAAAAAAAAATTTCTTGGGTCTCCAAATTCTTCCCTTTATCTTAATTTTAGCATCTAAACAAATTATAAGTCCACTCAACATTTTGTTAGATTTGCTCGGAATATGTAGCCAACCTTAATTTGAATTATATGTTAGCGTGTAATTTATAACTGAAAATTGACAAAGGTATTAAGGTGCAATTTAGTAGAAGAATCCTGTATGAAGACTTGGACATCATCATAATTGATCCTTCACAGTTTTAAATCATGTGCTCAATGGGAGTGGAGTGGGTAGTTGACTCAATTAAGAGGAAGAGCAACTGTTGTTTTTTTTTTTATTGCATAGAAAATAATGATGAAAATAATGATGCATTACCCTGTTTTTCTTGAGCCATTTGTAGAAGACACCTTTTCTTGATTGAATGGTCAATCTATTCCACGAGATCTTGTCAGGTTTTTTTGTTAGAACCCTTGTGATTCATGAGCTATTGATATTTCAGCTTAATGATTTCTAGTTTGAAGATAATTCATTGAGAATTTTTCTTATCTTGCCACTTGCAAACACATAAAGTCATCTTATCTTTACATAATTTTGGTTGAAGTCATATCTTTCACCATAATTCCACTTCTTTTACCAGTTTGATCATATTTCTTGTTAGCTTATCAAGAATCCCTCTGAACATATTTTTTTTGTCTCTCACACTCACCATACACAAATATAATGATCCTTCAGTTTGATCTAACAAAACAAAGAATAAATATTCCATATATTGGGGCATTGCCATTGCAAGTAGATCATCATTGTTCCCTGTGGTTGTCATAACTATTATGCCTAAATTCACTTCAATTGAGTTTAAAACTATTTATCCCAATAATTTGGAGCCCACACCATCAATCTACATGTTTTCGGTTTCAAATTCAGTAGATTTGTCATGTTTGATATTATATTTTCAAAGTGGATGTTTTCACATTTAAATCTATGTTGTATCTGACTTTTGCTACTGTAACAAGCTCAAGTTCCAAAGCTAAGAGACAATTTGGGCTTGTTTCTGAAAACTCTAAAATAGCAAATACATTTCAGTTAAATTAACAACAAATACATTTTACTTAAATTAACAACTTACAACTTACCAAATAAATGCTACATTTTTATGTTTTTCAAATTTCTAAGGATAGAAAACTTTTTCTGAGAAGTGGAACCAAACAAGGCTTTAGTCTTTTTTGGATCTCGGAGATTCTGCTGTGGTTAACATTTACTACAACGGAATATCAGAGCATATGTTGTTGATAAGAGACCAACTCAGTTTAGGTGACAATTCATTTTCAAGTGGTATCT